GGGCAGTGGTGCCGTCTAGGTCAGCACTTATCTCGCCCGTTCAGTGCTGCTGTCTGTGTAGGGGGTGCTCCAGGCTCACCCCAAGTTCCAGGCGTCTCCCGTGGTGCCCCATCCTGTAACTACCTATGTCACCACAGGGGTGATATCACTCCAAGAATCTTTGTAACCCCAGCTAAATCGGGGCTTAAAACCTTTTACTTTTCAGTATATCGTTTATTGTCATCTCTTGCTTCCAATGGAATCTACGTTTTAATTAGTTTGGAAACATAGGTGTGATATTTTACAGAATGAGATCACTGCCCCTGTATTTAATTAAATGAACCCCATAAAAGTTGGGTTTTATCCAGGGGCGTAATTGACAATAGGCTGGATTTGAAATTGCATTAGCACTTACCCTGGGTCATTAGCACGTGAGATAGAAATAGATGGTGACCACGGGGCGCGGGTCCTCAGAAACCAATGTCTTCCCATAAAAAGACACTGATTTTTTAATTTGGAGAGAGTAGACCGTCCTTCCCAAATACCATATTTACACATACCCTGCCCTGCTTGCACTCCGGCCCTGCAGACCTTCGCAAGGTTGCGGCTCCTGTTCGGAAAGGTGAGCCGGGTGTGTGAGCGCCTCTCCCCGCGGGCTTTCTTGGGAGACGGTGAGAGTGGAGCCTGTGTCTGGGCTCGGGGCTCGGCTGGTGTCCCAGCGAGTGCGGTGGGCGCAGTCTGGCTGTTTTAGTGAAATGCTGCCTACCGTGCCTGCCATCTGACCGCTTCGGACGCGCCTCCCATGCGCCGCAGCCTCACTTCTGCCCGAGGAGCTCTCCCGCGGGGCACACCAGGAGGGGACACGTCTCAGGAACCACAGCAGGTGCTTTCTGGGAGCAAGTGACAGACAGGTGGACAGGTGGGCTGTCAGTAAAATGTACCCCCAAATGGGCAAGCCCCCAGCTCCGCGTTAGTCCTCAGCACGTGGGAAGGGGCAGCAGGCACGTGACCCGGGCGTCAGGGGGACCGGGAAGGAATCGCCCCACGCCCTCAGCACGATCGTCTGGTCTCGTCTCGTCTATGGGAAGGGGCAGCGGGCACGTGACCCGGGAAGGAATCGCTCCACGCCCTCAGCACGATCGTCTGGTCTCGTCTCGTCTCGGGAGACCTTCCGCTAAAGGACACTGGAGTCCCTTAGTGTCACGTCGTATTTGCAGCTGTGATGTGAGCCCAGAGACAGGCTGATTGGATTTCCACCGTAATTGCACCTGCATTCCAGAGCCTGCGGTGAATAAGTTAAGCATTTAATTTATAATAAAGATGAACTTGGCAATCAGCATTTCTTGTTCCAAAACATTCCACTTACTAGGCCGTAGAGCCGTGTAAACTGTTGTAAAAGCCATCCGCTCCACTGGGCGATATTGCACCTGACCGCCCGCCGCGCCTGGACGAGCGTTCCTCCTGCGATGGAGGCCGCCGCACCCTAACGAGGCCGCGGTGCTCATCCCGGGAGTAGGGGCTGTCGTTCTCGGTTGGCTGGCGGCGTGAGTCATCACCTCGCCGAGTCTCCCAGGGATGCGATTCCGAGATGACAGTGTAATAAGTGTTATGTGCACAAGGTAATTCAAAACAAATTTGGCTGCAAGAATGGATCGTCTGGGTTAGTGACTGCCGCCTCGTCTCATCGGCTGTTAGGAGAGCGTAATGATCCCGCGACGCCTTGTCAAGAGCTTGTGCGGCAAGCGGCGAGTCCGGTGCCATTTATCTGTCGCGCCCCTAACGAGTCCCTAGAAAGTCGAGGGCTGGAGGCGTTAATGTGGGTGTCGGTGGCCGGGGACGCGAGGTGGGCAGGGAGGGAGCCTCTCCCTGTACAGGAGCTATTCAGGCCCCTGGACGAGGCTGCATTTTGCTCCTTTGATTTATAGATGATTGTCTCCTGGGAAAAGGTGTCTACCCTGGTAACGGGTCCCCCTCGGCCCCCTGGTTTCTTAGTAAATTCTTATCCCTTAGACCAGCGGTTCTCAACCTTCTGGCCCTTTAAATACAGTTCCTCATGTTGTGACCCAACCATAAAATTATTTTCGTTGCTACTTCATAACTGTAATGTTGCTACTATTATGAATCGTAATGTAAATATCTGATATGCAGGATGGTCTTAGGCGACCCCTGTGAAAGGGTCGTTCGACCGCCAAAGGGGTCGCGACCCACAGGTTGAGAACCGCTGGCTTAGACGTTATACCCAGATTATTCCATGAAGCTTCATAAAGCCCCCAACCTTTCAGTGACATTCATGTTGTCGACGAGACAGGGAGACAGAGAGAGGACAGTTACATTGCCCAAAGCCCCCATGAGGGCGCCGGCCATGGCCCGATCCCAGAGGTGGGTCCCTGTGCAGCCACGCGAGCCGGGAGGAAGGAGGGGGTCCCCTGTGTGTGGAGGGGCTTATTGGAATGTGTGAGGTGAATGGGTGTGTGGCCTCCAGCTGTGACATTGCTCCCTAGGCACAGTGGTCAGAACTGGGATTCTGAGGATCCAGCCTAAAGGGTTAGCCCTATTCAGCAGGGACGGGGTCGGGATGGTCCGCTGGTTCAGAAAACTAGGAATTCCTTTGCATCCTTTCATTCTTTTCTCCAAGGAGGAACGGCAAAGACCGTTGTGTGCTAAGCCCCATGTTCCCGCCCTCCAGGGTGGAGGCCTTAAGAGGCGGTGGCCCCACCATTCTCCTATTCACTGGTGCCCTGAGTCTTCGTGTGACTGGTTCAGAAAACTAGGAAGAATTCCTTTGCGTCCTTTCATTCTTTTCTCCAAGGAGGAACGGCGAAGACCGTTGTGTGCTAAGCCCTGTGTTCCCACCCTCCGGGGTGGAGGCCTTAAGAGGCGGTGGCTCCGCCATTCTCCTATTCACTGGTGCCCTGAGTCTTCGTGTGGCCCGAGTAACTCCCTTGTGACATAAGGAAATTACTTAAATAGACTGAATCCGAATCATCCATGATCCCGCCGGCCTGGTTCATCTGGGCTTCGTTACAGGGGACGAACCCGGCGTCTGCTCCTCGTTCCTCAACCCCAGGCTGTTTACAAGGCAGCCCCACCTCGGGGTTCTTGTCTCCGGAGGGAGCTGACAGGGCTTAGGAAAAAGTAGGGCACGAGCTGCAGAAATGTATCCATGGTCGGTTCTGCTCGGACCAAGAGAAGCGGAAGTTGTCTGTCCCATGGAGAAGGGACCTAGTGTGTGTGCCTTGAAGTCGGAGATACTGAGGGGGGAGATATGCACGTGGAGAAGGGACCTACTGTGTGTGCCTTGAAGTCGGAGATACTGAGGGGGAGATGTGCACGCCAGACAGGAAACGGGTCGGTGTTCGTCCTGGCACTTATGAGTAAACACTAACGGCATACCTACTGGGAGAAGGTAGTGTACATCTAAGGGGTTTAAACTCAGGATTAAATTGCTGTGCGAGCGACAGGAATTTGCCAGTTTCTCCGCAGGGAAGGTTTGAGAAGCGGGGGGACTTGGGGAGGTAGCTATTCCATAGCACGGTCCCTATACCACGATCCTAGACTTGCCTTTAAGAAGCAAACCAACCACTTGGGGAAGATATGGAAGTAGTTCTGGGCCTGGTGGTGTCCGTGTGGTGCCGTCACTAGATGTAACCAAACTACGGGACATGATGTCCTGTTCCTCCGCCGTGGGGGGTACGAGGGGGGAAAGTAAGCGGCTGGACTTCCGTGTTGCTGGGAGCGACTTCATTTTCTAGAAACGGCCCAGCCCGCCGGCGCTGGGGCCCTACCTCCTGCCCGAGGAGTAAGTCGCTTCGCGTGCCTCCCTCAGGGTTCCCATGCTGCACTCTCTTGTTTATGGAGGCGATAAATTGAATCCTGTGACATATTAATTACTTTATTATAAGCCTGGAGCAGAGTTATTCAAATTATATCCTAAGAGCAAAATTACTTACTAATGTCGTAAAAGTTGTTTCGGGATAAAATTTAATCACCGCAAGTGGCGGCGGGAGGGGATGCGAGCGGTGCTTCTTATAGACACAAAGCGAGGGGCCCTACAGGCATACCCACGCGCCCCCCAAGCTGGGAAACAGCGCGAGGTGTGGGTGACGGGCCGGACCTGCTGCCTGCCCGGCGGGCCGGTGACCGCAGGGGCACCTCACAGCTGCTCCTCTCCCTGCAGGCACCCCTGGGGGGAAAGGCGGCTGGACTTCCGTGTTGCTGGGAGCGACTTCATTTTCTAGAAACGGTTCTGGCGGTGTGTCCTCTCGTGTGAGTTGTTCTGGACGTAGCCGGAGTGAGTGAGTTCTGAGGGTGCCACTGGAGAGGATCCGGGGCACAGCACCGACGTTCTAACCACCAGGCGGCCTCCTGTGGGTACCGGACGCTCTGGGGGAGGGCGGTGAGGACTGGGGCGAGAAGGGCAGGTGCAAGGGCTGCGCACACTCGGAAAAACCCAGCAACTACACTGGCTGCTGGGCCTCCCAAGCGTCGGCCAAAATGTGGGCCATCCGAGCTCCTTGGAGTTACCTGCCATATCCACCTGTGGCCTGTGAGTCCCTTCATATTTCCAACTGGCCTTTTAAAGAGAAACAAAAGGGATTCATTTCAAAAGGAAGCTCCCTGTCGCTCACAGGAAAGGAGCAGTCACGCCACCTGGCACAAGCTGGGGAAACGCACACCATTACCGCGTGACAGTGTGATTAATTCCAGTCGCTGTCACTCCTGATGACGGCACTGAGCCTGCGACCGGGCCCTTCTCTTGGGCGAGATGACGCGCTGGTGTTACAGACATTCCAGTAGGAAGCCAGGGCGTCCCGCTGTGGATCTGGTATTGATGCCACATCCGCAGACCTGCCAACCCGCCCCTCCCACCGGGCCTTCTTCCCCGGGACCTGAGATGGAGAGCGAGCTCGGGGGACCAACATCCCCACGTGCCCTCCCGCTGGCCGCTTGCACGTGAAAACCATCTTTCAGGTTCTGCTAACTGAGCATCGTGTCCCCCCGCCCCCTCAATATTTCGACAGGTCAACGGCAAAGACTTATCCCGAGCGACGCATGACCAGGCCGTGGAGGCGTTCCGGACGGCCAAGGAGCCGATCGTGGTGCAGGTGCTGC